ACCTGAACCTAACTCTGATAAGCAGGACCCTCCTGTACGGGAGTACCGGGAAACCAAAACCTGCTTATAAGCAGACCCTCCTGAAACAGCAGAAGCCTGGAACCTAACCTGCTGTATAAGCAGGACCCTCCTGTACAGCAGTAGCCTGGAACCTAACCTGCTATATAAGCAGGACCCTCCTGTACAGCAGTAGCCTGGAACCTAACCTGCTATATAAGCAGGACCCTCCTGTACAGCAAAGCCTGGAACCTAACCTGCTATATAAGCAGGACCCTCCTGTACAGCAGTAGCCTGGAACCTAACCTGCTGTATAAGCAGGACCCTCCTGTACAGCAGTAGCCTGGAACCTAACCTGCTGTATAAGCAGGACCCTCCTGTACAGCAGAAGCCTGGAACCTAACCTGCTGTATAAGCAGGACCCTCCTGTACAGCAGTAGCCTGGAACCTAACCTGCTATATAAACAGGACCCTCCTGTACAGCAGTAGCCTGGAACCTAACCTGCTATATAAGCAGGACCCTCCTGTACAGCAGTAGCCTGGAACCTAACCTGCTATATAAGCAGGACCCTCCTGTACAGCAGTAGCCTGGAACCTAACCTGCTGTATAAGCAGGACCCTCCTGTACAGCAGTAGCCTGGAACCTAACCTGCTGTATAAGCAGGACCCTCCTGTACAGCAGAAGCCTGGAACCTAACCTGCTGTATAAGCAGGACCCTCCTGTACAGCAGTAGCCTGGAACCTAACCTGCTATATAAACAGGACCCTCCTGTACAGCAGTAGCCTGGAACCTAACCTGCTATATAAGCAGGACCCTCCTGTACAGCAGTAGCCTGGAACCTAACCTGCTATATAAGCAGGACCCTCCTGTACTGTCAATTTTAATTCCTCATTCTTTATGCACTAAACTAAGTGAAACAAAGACTAAAAATCATGCCTAACATATGACAAGGAAGGACTGGAGGTCTGCCCATTAAGCTGAGACAAAAAGAAAATTGTAATTTTGATCATCTGCTATTGCACTTCAAATACATAGTAAAAAATTAAATTTTATTAAAATTATATCAGAGTCCTAACAAAACAAGTTCTGTTCTTGAATGGTATTGGATTCGCCCACCAAAGCCAATAATATATTATTATTATTATTATATTATTATTATTATATTTATGGGGGTGCACAAAACCCACAGGGGTCATAAAATGCCTCAGAAATGGAAGGCATTTAGACTTCATTTAAGGAATTGGAGCATTGGTCCAATTCCTTAGATCAAGAGCCCCTTACCAACATCAAGGAACCTTATTTGAAGGGTATTACATTATTAAATTTAGGGGGAAGCACCAAACCTGTATGAGTCATACGATCCCTTGAGGTACAAGAAGCAATCAGGCTCAATCCAGGGAAGGGGACGACACGACCAATTCCTTAATAATAACAACAATAATAATAATTTGTGGAATACGGCCAGTTTGCTAAAATAATAATAAAAATCAGTGGTATATGCCCTGTTTGTTAAAATAATAATAATACTACTTTATTTCAGCATGATATAATGCTTGAACAGAGATGGGTGACAATGGGTTACGCAGAGCATTTTGGCAAAACTTAAGTCTAACTTCTAACTAAAATGGCAATAACTAATTAATTTTTAATATACTGTAAAAGGAAATTAGAGGTTCATAAGCAATAAAGGCTCCAGCCTCAAGTGATAAATAATAAAGGTTTGTTGGTACTGCTACACACAGCTCACACCAGGACTAAAACAACGTCACTCACCATGTTATCTTCAAGGACATTCAACTGCATATAAGTATTCGAGGTTGAGAGTAAGTCATACACTGCATCTCTCTGTACCACCAGATAACTCACATGTACCCGATACTCTCGTCCGGGACACTCCTGAGGGAAAAACACAATGTACCTTAAATAATATAGTACCTTATTTTCTAGAATACAGTAAGTCCTCAACATAAAAACACATTGAGAACCCTCTGTATTGTGTACATCATTAGCCCTTAAACTGTCCAAATGTAGATCTATGTTCACTCACGTAGCGCTCCGAGCATAGATCTACGTTTGGACAGTTTAAGGGTTAATATATCATTATTGTGTATAATATCATTATTATATCACTATTATATACAATTCAGGAGGCCACTAATGTGTTCCTAAGTTGAGGACTTCCTGTATAAGGCGCACTTTTTTCCCACAAAAAGTCTTGAAGAATCAGCCTGCGTCTTATATGCTCAAGGTGAGGGTCAAGAGTAGGCCATACCCCCGGCCGGGATTGAACCCGCGGTCATAGAGTCTCAAAACTCCAGCCCGTCGCGTTAGCCACTAGACCAGCTAGCCACAATAAGAGGTGCCTGTGCTAACTTTCCTATGGTGTAGAAATATACCTAGTTGGATGAATCTTATTGTGGCTAGCTGGTCTAGTGGCTAACGCGACGGCGCTGGAGTTTTGGGACTCTATGACCGCGGGTTCAATCCCGGCCGGGGGTATGGTTTATTTGCAATCGTGTCATTACGATTTCTTGAGTCAACAGTAGGCTTTGTGTTACGCTTTAGCAGTTGTATACTGACGTTAGGTTACGACTGCTTGGAAACATCGTCTTATATGTCTTAACCATTAAACTGTCCAAACATAGATCTACGTTCACATGTGTAGTGCTCCAAAAGTAGATCTGTTTTTTTACATATTTTCAAATATGAAAAAAAAAACGTAGATCAAAGTTTTTTTTACACGCTTTCAAATGTGAAAAAAAAATCTACGTTTTTTTACGTACTTTCAAATGTTGAAAAAAACGTAGATCTACATTTGGACAGTTTAAAGGTTAAATGCTAGTGCATCTTAAATGACTCAAAATACAGTAATGATGCAGCATTTGTCTTATTTTTTAAGTAAAAACTAGAAGTACACAATACACATTTATGAAGAACAAAAAGTCACAATACCATGACTGGAACAATACACAAACAACCCGCACACCAGAGAAACTTATGACAACGTTTTGGTCCGACTTGAACCATTAATTAAGCACACAATGTGTCTAGTCAACGGTTCAAGTTGAACCGAAACAATGTCGTAAGTTTTCTCCTATATGTGAGTTATTTGTACATATATAATACACATATATGTAACACAGCCATTTCTACCAAGGCAGGGCATTCATAAGAAAAAAAAACATTCACCATTATATACTACACAGCTAACTTTCCAGAATTAAAGGCCAATGTGACCCAGGGATCCACCAAACTGTAATATCTTAGGATCAAGATTCTCACCTGAAAAGGACAGACTGCAATAAGACTTCAGGTGAGGAAAACAGAAATACAGCTTCCCCTTTTTGGTGTGCCATGTTTTCATTTACTTTTAACCGAGCCATTATTCATTATGCTCGGTGCTTTTATCATCTTTCCATCGTTTTCGTACAACAGTTGCATAAGGAAAGGTCAACCAACATCATAATTTAACCCGTAAACGGTCCAAGCAGATCTACGTTCACATGTGTACTGCTACAAAAGTAGATCAAAGTTTTTTTACACATTTTCAAATGTAAAAAAACAAAAAGAAAATCTACTTTTTTTACATACTTTTAAACGTTGAAAAAACGTATATATACGTTTGGATCGTTTACGGGTTAAGGTAAGTACTATTGTATGTACTGTGTATTTCTTAATGTTTTATGTGTTCTTTTATACCTAGCTGTATTGAACACTTATCATATGATAGTGTAAACATTATCAGGTGTTTAAGATGCATTCGATAATGCAAAAATGCTCTTTTCCATCCACTGGTGATTTTTGCTCAATGCAAGGAGCCAGGAATCTTACAGCTGTACAAACAGTGTCCTCCTGTAGCTGAGAATTTCAAAAAAATAAACAGGAGAATGTGGAAGGAGGTATACAATGAGCACTGTCTCCCTAAACACCTCACTATTTACCATGTTAATTTCTTGTGTTTGCACCGAGACAGGGTGACCCGAAAAAGAGAAACATGGCATGTACAGTACTGTATTTCCGACTCGTGAAATCGCACTAATACGAGTGTAAATAAACTACTGGTTCAAACTCCACCTGTTCCATGGTTAGTATTGTATTTCATAAAGCACTAAACCCATTTGGTCATTCAGCACAAGAACAATAGAGGCTCTATCCTCTGCTATTCATATTCCAGTCCCTGACCTGGCAGGCTGTTGCTGGTGGGTGCCGGCATCGCTATTGCCTCATACACACAGTGTGTCCTTGGTTCAATACCCAGCACGGGGGGAAACATTGGGCATTTCCTTACACTTGCTGTCACTGTTCACCTAGCAGTAAGTAGGTACCTGTGCATTAGTCACCTTACATCTGCTGTCCCTGTTCACCTAGCAATAAGTAGGTACCTGGATGTTAGTCATCTTACACCTGCTGTCAGTGTTCACCTAGCAGTAAGTAGGTACCTGTGCATTAGTCACC